CAATTGCTACCAACAAAGGTATACAAGAAAGTCAAATTACAGCAATCAAACCAAGATACAACTTGCAGAATGTGTGAACAAACCCAAGAATCCACGACCCACATCATGTGCGGGTGCGCAACAACGGCCCAAAGCTTATATAAGTCACGACATGATAAAATGCTAAGACCATATTATCACTACCTACTCTATAAATATGGATTTGAAAACAATGACCATACAAGACCTTGGTATGAACAGAGCCCACCCGTGGCAGTAGTCGAGAACGAAAGAGCAAAGATTATGTGGGATATAGAGTTCCATCTACCGAGAGCACCTCAAAACCATGCTAACAAAATAGACATGGCAATTAATGACAAGAAAAGGCAAGTGTGGCTGCTGTTAGAGGGAACAGTCTGCGCTGTTGGCAAGATAAAGGAAAGAAGTACTTTAAAGCAAGACAAATACCGTGAACTGCGAAGTGGGATCAAACAAMTGTATCCCAAACATCAGATTACTCAAGTGAACATAGTGTTTGATTTCCTAAGTAACTACCATCACAACCTTAAAACAGAGATCATCGAAAACATCACAGCAAGTCAAGAAGAGGCACACTATTTATTACTTAAAAGTCAGAAGTGGATAATCTCACAAAATGCCGAAATCGTTAAGAATTTCTATACTTATGTACACGAATAAAAATGTAGCGGGTTTAAGGATAGGAATAAAGACTGAGCGAGACATTTAAAAACAGCTTAGCCAAGGCTACTCGCCCGCAAAGTTGTCAATTTTCAAAAAGAAATTCAATAAAGGTGTATATAATAATAATATAATAATAATATAATAATAATAATATAATCCTATTTATATAGCGCTTATCCAATTCTGTTCTAAGCTCTTTAAAACTACATGACAACTACAAACACATGAGAGTCTTGGTAGACTGTGAGCTTGAGTTGGCGCCTCTGGCTGCCGCTGTACATAGTCCGTCCCAAGATCTCACTAACTAAAAATTAAAGTACAACAATGGCAGGCTCTCTTTTTTTTCCTTTCCGCCTCCCCTCCCCCTCCCCTTCCGTTTTCTCCCTCCCCCCTCCCCTAGAGCCGCCACGCAGGCTATCAGATTTACATCACAATAAACAAGTGTTGTGTTGTGTTGTGTTGTGGTCAAAGACTTCCAAGGAAAGCCGGCAATTATTAAACTTAGCTTTAGAATTGCCATTTTGTAACGTAGCAAACTCGAAGCTTATTACTAAATCTCTTAATGGCCTGAGTCACATGCAATCCTCGACTGCCTCTTTTCAGTTTTTGAATTCGTTGTTGAATTACGTAACTGAAGTTTATTAGGTCAATGATCGTGATGATATGATAGGATATTTTGAAATAATAACTATTAGAAATGCGATTTTCAGCGTTTTGAGGGCCATCGAAAGCATATGAAGGCATCAAATCCCGAAAATTTTAATATTTCCTACCCACTAACTAGTACGCACTTGAGTATATGCGATTTGATCTTAAGCAGAGAATGTCAGAACACCCCTCCAAGCATAAGAAAATAGCTCTTACCCCCCTCTGCTATATTAGAAATAACGTCGAACCCCCTCCCCTCCCTTACTATTAACTTTAGTTATAAAACAAGCACAAGCGAGTCGAGTCGACTGTAGCAACCCAAAATTCACTAAAGACGAACCCAAATGCAAGAGGTGGCTTACTCATCTGGATCTAAGTGTAAAGACAAAAACTTTCAGGAGGAGCTGACGGCAAATGTGGTGCCCTTGCTTCTTTGAAATAATTTTGTTCCTGGCAAAGGTTTTCAAGGTCCAAAAAAGCTTATAACGTTTTTATGGTCAAAAACGACTTTGATATTACTTGTGCTTTTTATGTCTAATAAATCATCAATATTTTTTTCAGCTTCTACATCCTCAATTTATCAGTGAAAACTACATCCTCAATTTATGTGACAAAATTGAAAAAAATCAATAGTTGAAAAAAAATCATACCTTGGTCAATTTAAGTACTGGTCTGAGTAAGAAGCAGGCAAGCAAACGCCATGGAATGCACGAAGGTGCTAAATTTGTATTGTACAATCCATCCATCTCATTGGTTAAAACATTCAAATTTGACATATGAAAGTAAGCGCATTTTTTAATATTTTATTTAATATCTGATTCCGACTTCATGAAAGCTTTCCTTAGCTTTAATATTGATAGCAATTCTATGTGGGGAACATAGCAAATTGGAAGCATTTTTTGGCTATTGTTTTGAGTGCTTATGATTGGACAAGATCTTTTAATACAAAAGAAACTTTGTTTCAAAACAGAGTTTATTCACATCTTATTTTTAAAATGTTTTAACCATAGGTTGATATATAATCAGTGTGAAAACCAAGACATTCGTATGTGGGGAAGTTGTAATTGCCGCAGAACAATAGCAAGTTGTCTGCTTTTTGCGCGTATTGTTACTTAAATCCAACATCAACGAGTCTTTAAATTTAGATTTCCATTAGTCAGGCGCGTAGCGTGGACTTTTTATGCACATKTCAGGGACCGCGACACATATTTTGGATCTGGGGGTCTAACGAACGCCAAAGGCGGGAGTATTAAGGGAGTCTGGTCCCATATGAAAGTCATTGCATACAAAAGCTTGTATCAACTTMCGGCGATCACTCCCCCAACAATGCCCGAATATAAATAGCACCCGATTTGARCCTTTTTGCTCATTTATTCATGTCGATTATTACCGTCGGATTTATAAAAAGGAATATTAAAGCTTTAGGAAAATCGTATTAATTTTGAAAAAGTATAATTACAAGGGGGTTATAATTCGTTTTTCTGAATCAACTGTCACGCACATACAAAAGACGTTTTGAATAATCCATTTTACAGTTCCAGGCGCCATCTTGAAAGATAGCCGAGCCTTTGCATCAAAGCGAGGCAGTAGTTGAGCTTGCAGTGTAGATACCTGTGAATAACAAGAGGCCGTTATGCATGAGCATGCGCGCAACCGCTGCGTTATAACGACCATGGGCTCTAGAATACGGATAGAATAACATTGTAGTAGCTGCGGAAGCTTCGCGATTCTGAACATAATTGATGTTTTTACTTATCTTCCACATTTTTCCAAACAAAACCAAGTAGATATATTWACAATGCACACGAATATCTTTCAAACTTTATATAAATTACTGTGAGTCTCGGGCTAGATTTATAACACGAAGACACTTTGTACCGTTAAAATGTAGTGAATTATTTGTGTACACCTTTAGCAATAATAAATTCCTAAGATGTGAATCGATTGCACTGCAATAGTTTATTTCATAACTTATAATGATAMAGSTATAGAACTACACATAGATATTTATGATAACTTGATTCAAACAAGCTCAACTCTTCAGCTAAAAGAATGCTAAATCTGTCGTGAGTGCTCAACAGCACGTAAGAATTTGCAGAATTAACACCGTTCCACATTTTCATAGACCAGAAAACATTATCAAACCGTTTGCAAAGCATAAGTCTTGATATTGGTAGCCTTATTCTAATGAGTCCTGGTGGTCAATATTTAAGCGTAAATATTGTACACTTCAAGAAACTGTCTTTCGAACATTTCGAGGTCGATGTTACCAAACGATGCCTAATAATATTACTACATGTGTACATTTACC